TCCGACCTCCAAACACTTGCTGCTCGGGCAATAGCTCACTTATTGAATAATTGAAATGTCAAAGTGAAAGTGAATTTCATATTTTGGCTGGTTCGAAAGAAGCGTAAGCCTTGATGCCAGGATCTTGTTCGAATTTAATCATGTCTTCCTTTGACAAACCAACCCATGCGTCTATGCCATCACCATCAATGTTATCCGTGAGAATGGCAATGTTTTCGTTCCTGGCCGCAGAGCTTACCCACATCCACAAGGGCTTTCCCCACCCAAAATCTGTTTCATACCATGGAAGTCTGCACCATGAAGTTATAACAAACGACTTCATTTTTATATTATTCTTAGCCATTTCTTCTACCGGTAAACTTTTCACGAAATTCATGTACCCTCCAGATGCATGAAACTCTCTTACAAAATTATCATCCATCATCTTTATAGCTTCGTGAAGATCTCCCGCTATACTATTACTACCAACTCCGGTCTCCATGTTCGACCAATTTGCCATTGTCATTTGACTCACGCACCCCATACAATCCCCCGGTATTTCTGGCTTCATTCTGTTTCGCAGATTCACAGGAATGAATCCTACAAATTGTGCAGGGTCTTTAGTCATTGCTGTTATAGCATTCAACATAACCGCAGACACTGCCTCGAAACGTGATGGACGATCCACTGAGTCTGCAATTTTACCGATTTCTTCTTTTAGAGCGGCTATCTTAGCAGCTTCAAATGTAAACCTCTTTGATATAACGTTCGGGTCCGTCGATGCATATTGACCTTGGAAAAGACTACTCTTCCTTAATTCTACTAAATCCTGCGGAGGGAAGAAAGAAGTGCAATCAAAAATCACATTCTTAATTTCCTCATTGTTACTGGGATTAGCAACCTTAGCCCAGTTTTTAACAAAGTTTGCCGCAGCTGTTGCATCAGCAACCCTATGGTTAAACCCAACACCGATCGCAATACCACCGCAAGCAAAGTAATTGACCTGCACGCTTAGATTGACGGGATCACCAATTATCTTTTCATGTATCTTATATGGTAGCAGCTGTTTGATCACATCCTTCTCCGGTCGTTTAAGAATGTCAGACATCTGGCTGCTTACTTTGGTTTCAATGAAGAGGGCTCCATTATCGTTACAATCAACAGTATCATCATCTTTGACGCGCCCTGCGAAAGGGTAGTAGAGGGTCAATATTTTTGAGAGGGAGTTTTTGAGATGGCGAGAAGTTTCGGCGGTATCTTTGCCTGGTGAAGAGTAAAAGAGAATGATGGGGAAGTGAACTTCAGGACATAACTGATCTAGAACAGAAAGCTTATATTTTCTTAAATGGTCAGGGGTTGGAGAAGATGGTTTGATGGTTTCTCTAGAAATGGTTTGGATTTGCATGTTCTCTAAATTGCAAATTTTATTAGCAGATTTGGAGAAGTATGGTTTTACTGATTTTGTTTAATTCAGTACAAGTAACCGTATCACTCAAACACATATTTATATAGAGGATGAAGAAGATGGTTTGATGATCATATTGGGAAAGCAGGTTTTTGTATAACTAGTTAATTATAACGTTTTAATCATGTAAGATTTGAAAAATAACAAAAATAAACAGTTTTGAAAAGTACACCTCCAGTTAGAATAAAATCGTCTATATATGACTATATCTAGAAGATTATATAGTAGGAACAGTCAGTCAATTACATAAAATATATATAAATAAAAAGCTAAAGCTGTTATAAAGTAATTTTTTTAGTTAAATTAAGATTCTCTTTTATTTTCGAAGATATATAAAAGTCGAACCAAGAGAGAATAGGTGTACTCTAATCTTAGGGAATGTTAGGGAAGCTTCTTCATCAAATTAATTGTAAGGAGATACCAAGAAATTAAACTGATGAAGAAGTTAAGTGAAAGATGTGGTGGGTGAGGCTGGTGGCTCTTCAAGAAGAAGAAGAAGAAGGTTGATTACAGGATGGCCACAAAGTGGGTAGCTGGGGAACTTGAAAGAGATGGCTTAATGTTGAAGCTTTGATTGGCTCAATATTTTCATTAACAAATGGTTTTGTTTTGTTTTGTATTCATCAACATGATTCATGATGTAAACAATTTACATCAACTCAATTTCACTTTGGGCATTTCCCTTTTAGCCATTTAATTAATTAACCCTAAAGCATGCTTTGTTTGAGATTCTTGATTAGTCAAGTCAAGTTATTAAATTCAAAAATCTTGTAAAAGTTATTGGGGTCTTGCGATGATGTATGTATCATTAGTGACTGTGATGTTTAAGTGAAAATCTTCTAAAAAAAATATATAAATAAGTTTATAAATTGAGATTTCATACAACGTGAATGTAACAACTCCTGATTCTCTCGTCTTTTTATCTCTCTACTTTATATTACTTTCTCCCTTTTATTTATATTACTTTAGTTTTATAATATTACCAGGGACAATCCTTTTTTTTTTCTTTTTTGTGGTACCGGGATGTTTGAGACACTGAGGCAGTTTGCGTATAATTCAACTAATCTCCAAAGCCTATTGAACACCTTACAAACTCAATACAGGGGTTATTCATGGGTGGGTAATATTGCACATTTGGTTTTGTCAAATTTAATTCCATTAATTTAATAGTTAAATTTTCACTTAGTAATTTTATAATTAGTTTAATTTTTTTTTAAGAAAAATGTAATGTGTAATGAGTATATGCAACTATATTGTTTGAACAATGACTGGAGGTACGATTTATGATTTGAATAGTGATAAAAGAGTGAGTTATAACTCATAAGGAGTGTAAAAGAGGTTAAAGTTGGTTGTTGGTTGATGGCATATTATTATTATATGATGTTGGTGGTTGGTAGTTGGTTGTTGGTTGTTTCTCACAATCTTTTTCTTATGTTTTCCGCTAAAAAAATCGATCTCGTTACACTCACAGTTTTAAAAACCGATCTGGCTTGGCCGGTTGAATCGAGACGTGGAGCCTTCACTGAGCCAGGTTACCGATTTCCCTATTCACCAATTACCTTAGAATTTGGAGTGATGATCGGTGAACAATTGAAGGTCGGGATGTTGAAGCTTTTGAAGAGGAAGTGTTGATGAGTGCCATGGTGGACGGAAGTGATTTTTGGTGAGTGAATTGACTGGAAATCGAAAAAAACCAATGGCGACAACAACTGACTTTTGCTAGCGATTGGCGAGGTAAACGGGGGTAAGGTGAGATGGGTTTTGGTCAGGAGGCTGGGGGGAAGTATTTTCGTGATGATGGGGAGGGTTTTTTATGTCAGCGATGGTAAGATCTGGCCTAGGTTGTCGACGCTGGCTATGGTGGTTCCATTTCGGCCAAATCTTCAGTAGATTTTCTAGGGAATGGGCTTAATAGATGATTTGGATTGCGTTTGGTGTGTCGCCTCCATCAACCAATTGACAGCCGATTTGTATTTGGGGTGTGTTTGCTAAATTTTAAACTTGTACGGACTTAACTGTAATTTTTAGGGGTGTATTGGTTGAATTTTAAACTTTTTGAAACCCGGTTTGACCGGTCAACTCAGGACTTGGCAACTTTACTGGGTTTCACCCCGGATTGGTTATTAAAACATTGGTTACACTATCATCTATATGTACCTCTTAATTAATGTAATTAATATATAACACATTCTATTTTCCTTGTATATTATTATAAGTTTGACATCTATAAATTTCAAGAAAATACTTGTAAGATGTATATGTAAATTCTAAATTAAATAATTAAGAAGATAAACTAGTTTTAGGGGTAAATTTATCGGGTTAGTAAATCACTTCTGTAAAATTATTTATGGGTTTGCTCAGCACACGAGCTAATAATGTTCACTAAGATAGAATTCAGTTCAGAAAAAACAAAAAGTGAACAATAAAAAACATTGTGGAGTCTTTGTCTGTGCCTGTTTTGAAACTCACTAATCCTTGTAATTTCGGAAGGGGGATCACCTGATTATGACATCTTGTGACATCAAGATTATGAAAACAAAGAAGGGAGTGAAAGAGAAATTGGGGTTGGTAAAGAAGGGCTTGCGAAAGGAATTGGAATTAAGAGTTTCTTTGGGTAGTAAGAAACATAGGGGGGATGGTAAAATAATCGCAGATTGTGATGAAATTGAGGTTTTTGGTATGATGAATTCACTCACAGGGGGCAAGATTGAAATTAATCTTACTAATAATCATCGAACTGGAACATCCCATCTCAATATGGAATCAGTGGAATCCTTAAATGATACTAATGCAAGGAATGGAACTCGGGCTCTTCAACTAGCTCGAAGTTCGTCTTGCGCGGAGAAAGGAACAATGGTGAATGGTATTGGGAGGCAATCTCAAGTCGGTCATAGTTCTCCTTCTGAAAACGTTCCTCTGTTGGGAGCTAATGATTGTAGGAAAAACATGTCGCGAAGCCTTCCTCCACGGCGTGAAGGTCCAGTTAATGGTATGGTTCACTCCATTGTCACGAGATAAAAGGGAGAATCCTTGGTAGCGGCAGAAGGCAAGATGTCGACGGCCATTGTTGGTGTGTCGGTGGTTGATGGATGCAGAGGTTAGCCTCTTGGGCTGGATAAAGGGATGGAAGCTTTATAGGCCCGTTCTATTTCTAATGGGCTCCATAATCTCCTTGGAGGTAATGCTAATGATTTGGGTAATTTGCCTATGGAAGCTTCGAATGGGTTGAAAGGGGGGACTATTATAGAAACAAATACAATTCCTTATGGGCTGGATACTTCTCAAGTTGTGGTTGAACAGATTGAATTAGAGAAGGATATTGGGTTGGGTGCTACTTCCTTTAATGAGTTGAGTAATAGGGAGGGGTTGCCGACAATCAATTATTCCAATTCAAGGAGCAACCAAATGGCCATTTCTTTGGAAAATTTTCAAAAAGGTGGAAAGGCCTCTCATGTGGGGGGTTGTTGAAGAAAACCAAGTGGGGAGATTTATAGGCAATCAGCAACAAAGTTGAGTGTCAGTTGCTGGCGATCGGAATCAAAGAGTTAAAAGGTCGATGACGTATTTTAAGCCGTCTACAGATGCAACAAGAGTGACAACAATTTTCCCACCAATTTCAATTGCTATTGAGGGAAGAGAACACTGGGCAGATTGTTTAGTGGGCTCGTTTATAGATAATAAACCCCCCTTTCATATTGTTCAATCTTATGCGATGAAAATGTGGAGGAAATATGGGATCATTGAGGTGATGATGAATAATAAAGCATTCTTCTTTTTTAAATTCGAGAATGAATCTGATATGATTCAATGTTTGGAGGATGGTCCATGGCTCTTTCAAAACCGTCCAATTCTCCTTCAGAAATGGTGTCCAGCTACAGAACTTAGTAAAGAAGCTCCTCAGGTAATTTCACTATGGGTGAAATTGTTCAATGTTCCTTTGGAGTTTTGGAATAATGTTAGCCTGAGCTATATTACCAATGGAGTATGCAAGCCTCTAGGAATGGATAAGGTCACAGAGGACACTTGTAGATTGGGCTCTAGATGTATTGGTTATGCCAGAATTCTTGTGGAAGTTGAAGCTACTCATAAACTACCCGAAATGTTGAATGTTTGTACCCTGTGTGAGGAGACTGGTTTGACTAAGATGATGAGTGTTTGTGTTCATTATCAATGGCGACCTTCTCAGTGTGATCAGTGCTCTATTTTTAGTCATAAAGATGCAAATTGCCTACAACAGCCTAGGCATGAGGGTAGAGTTGAAAGTGGGGATTTGCATAAAGTGAAATTTGTGGATAATGAAAGGATCCAACTTGTTACTAGAAAAGGTAAAGGGACATCACAAAAGGGAGACATTTTAGGTGTTAATGGCTCCAAAAAGTCGCGCGAAGAAATTGCTCCGTGTAAGGCTAAATTGGCTAAAGAACAAAAAGTAAAGTCAACTATCAGTGTGAGTAATGTCTTCCAATGTCTAGCTACAACCCTAGAGATGAGACTAGATGAACCTCCCAGTCATCCTAAGAATACAGGGTCCTCGGCTATTGTTGAAGACAAGGAAATGGTTATGGAAGAAGAATCAGAGTTGGGCAATTCGGATATTGAATTGGATAATCCTTCAATGGTGGAATTCATTAAGGAAGGGTGACTTGGACCATCCATAGGGTACTGATGCAAGGGGAGGCAGGGGCAACTCCCCAGTATGTTCTTAATCTTTATGGTTAATATTGCTTGTTGGAATATTAGGGATCTTATCCAACCCCTAAAGCAAGCGGAGGTTCGTAATTTTGTGAAGGATCGTTGTATTTCTCTTTGTGCTTTACTTGAAACCAGAGTAACTTGCAATAATTGTTTACGTATCTTTGATAATACATTTAGAATATGGAATTGGGATTGCAATGCTGATCAAGGGAATCAGGGCTGCATGATTGTTATAAGATGGGATCCAGCTTTCTATAGTGTGGAAGTTCAAGAGAAAACTGACCAAGTTATGCATTGTCTCATCCGAGGGCTTACTAGTGATAATTCTTTTTTTTGCTCTGTCATCTATGTTGCCAAATACCATATTAATAGGAGGGAGCTTTGGCGTAATTTAGAGAATTTTAAGGAGAAAGTGTTAAATGATCCGTGGTTGTTAATGGGCGACTTCAATGTAACTCTGAATATAAGTGAAAGTCTGGGAGGAGTCTCTTATTTTACCACGAGCATGAAGGAATTTAGGGAATGTGTTGGTAATCTAGAGGTGGACGATATTAATAGAGATGAAATTTTGTATACGTGGAGTGGTAAACCCCATGGGGTTAATGGGGTTATGAAAAAGTTGGATAGGGTGATGGGTAATTCCCTTTTTATGGCTACTTTTTTGAGAGCTAATACATTCTTCTTTCCTCAAGGGATAAGTGATCACAACCTTGTTGTGACTGTTTTTCCCCAGCTCATGTCGAGTAAGCCTTGACCTTTCAAAATTTTCAACTATTTGGTGTACAAGGAGGATTTTAGACCATTGGTTCAATAAGTTTGGGATACTCGTATACCTGGATTCCCATTATTCTCGGTGGTGTAGAAGCTGAAAGCCCTCAAATCTTACTTTAGAGTCCTTAATATGAAGCAAGTTAATCTCACTCAAAAGGTGGTAGTGCTTAGGACAGAGGTTGAAAATATTCATAGTGTCCTTGATGTTAACCCTCATAATAAAGAATTAAGGGAACAAGAAGTAGTCTTTTCAGGGACGTTTAGGGAAGCATTGTTGGATGAGGAAAGGCTTTTGAAACAGAAGTCCAAGATTCACTAGTTAAGTGTTGGGGATCAGAATACTGGGTTCTTTCATAAATCTCTGAAATCTTCTCTGAATGGCAGGCGAATAGAGAGAATATCTCTTGATTCGAATGAAATTGTGGAAGTTCAAGCTATGGCTAAAGCTTTTGTGGATTGTTACCAGAATCTCCCCGGCATAGCTCCCTTGGTCTCAAGTATGGAAGGCTTTAATAGTTTGTTCCAGTCCAAAGTATCTTAGGTGAATTGCGTGAACATGATAGTGAGGTTAGTAAACAAGAAATTAAAAGTGTTATTTTTATATCAGGGATGACAAAGCTCCGGGTCTAGATGGGTACTCCTCAAAATTCTTCAAAATAGCTTGGAGTATTATGGGGGATGAAGTGTCAAAGGCAATTATTGACTTCTTCAACAATGGTAAACTTTTGAGGGAGGTGAACTCTACGATGATAACGTTTGTTCCAAAGTTGGATGTGCCACAAAAAGTGGGTGATTTCCGACCAATATCCTGCTGTAATGTGCTCTACAAAGCCATTTCCAAAATTATAGCTAACCGAGTGAAAGGGTGCTTAGGAGACCTTGTGGAAGTGAATCAATCAGCCTTTATTCCAGGCAGGCGTATAAGTGACAATATTTTGTTAGCTCAAGAGTTATTTAAGAACTACCACCGTAGTACTAGAGCTGCTAGATGTGCTTTTAAAGTGGATATACAAAAAGCTTATGATAGTGTTGATTGGGGCTTCTTGATCCAAACCCTGAAATATTTTGGCTTCTCTCGGAAAAAATGATAGGATGGATCAAAGAATGTGTTACCACTCCTTCTTTTTTGGTGGATATAAATGGGGAACATCATGGGTTCTTTCAAGGAAAAGAGGATTGAGGCAAGGGGACCCCTTTTCCCCTCACTTATTTACGTTGGTAATGCAGGTTTTATCTCTCATTATCCGTCATAAAATTTGGGAAAGAGGGGTTTCAAATACCATTTCTATTGTGATAAACTTGTGATAAGTCATCTTTGCTTTACGGATGACTTATTCCTCTTTTGCCATAGGGACCCTTTCTCGGTTCAAGTATTGAGAGACACCCTTAAAGAGTTTTCTGAAGTATCTGGCATGGTTCCAAACATTGCCAAAAGTTCGTCATTTTTCTATAATGTGAAAGATGAGCACCGAGCTGTTATTAGCAATATTATGGGCTTTGATAAGGAAAACTGCCTATCAGATATCTTGGTGTCCCCCTTATTACCACCAAATTATTTCATAGAGATTGTTTGCGCTTGATTGATAAGGTGGAGCAATGGCTGAAGTCATGGAAAAATCAAAGTTTATCTTATACTGGTAGGCTATAGTTAATTATCTCGATGCTCTCTTCTATTCATATTTATTGGGCTTCTGTCTTCATTCTTCCTGGCTCAGTTATCCAGACAATAGAAAAACTTTTGTGCTCGTTTCTTTGGTCTGGCAATGACATGAGCAAAGGGAAGGTAAGGGTTGCATGGAAAGAAGTTTGTATTCCTAAAAATAAGGGCGGTCTAAGAATTCGGTCTCTCAGAAGTAAGAACATTGTGTTGATGTTGTACCACCTTTGGAGTATATTGTCAGGAAGGGGCTCCTTATGGGTCAAATGGATCCATACTTACAGGTTGAAGGGGAGGAGTTTTTGGAATATCAATGTTGCATGGGATGCTAGTTGGTGTTGGCGTAAATTATTGAAATGAGGGAACAAGTTAGAAAGCATATTCAGACTACTCTTGATAATGGACAGGATACTTTTTTGTGGTTTGATAATTGGCACCCGCAGGGACCCCTTGACGAGATTGTTCCTTCACAGATCTTCTACCTTTCAAGCTTGGGGCATAATGCCCGAGTGAGTGACATTTTTAGAAATGGGTTGTGGGAGTGACCTGAAATTCTTGGGGAAGAATATCCAGTGGTAACCAATCACACACCTCTTATCTTCACGGTTGGCATAAGGGACACCCTATATTGGCAGCCGGCAGGATAAAAATGGAAAAAGGGTCCAATTCTCCATTAGACAAGTTTGGAAAGACCTTTACATGGAAAATGGGCCTGCCCCTTGGTATTCTTTAATTTGGAATGGCACTTGTATACCCCGCCATTCTTTTATTACCTGGCTTGCCATTAACCAAAAACTTCTAACGCAGGATAGAATGCAAAGATGGATGAATTCAGCAGAACTTTGTTGTAGACTCTGCAATGGCCCCATGGATTCGCATGAACACCTATTTTTTTATTTCCCTTACTCCTAAAAAGTGTGGAAGATTGTTCAAATTAAGGGGCAGTTTTGACCACCACCAGGGGAATGGATTGACATTGTAAACTGGTTTACAGCTAAATTTAGAGGTAAAAAGGTTCAAAATGTTGTCTGTAAATTGTTATTTAGTGCTGTGGTGTACTTCTTATGGCAGGAGCGAAAATTTCGATTATTCAAAAACACGTGGAGAAGTACAGATATGCCAGAAATTCTGTTGTTTGGGGAGGTCAGACTCATACTGCATTCTTTGAAGTTCAAAGATAGAAGAGTCCATAAAGTTGAGAAAGAATGGAATCTTCCTAAGGATTACATAAAAACTAGCACACCCTAACTTGTTTTACCATTCCTTTTTATGAGGCCTTTTTATGGGAGTGTGAGGAGTTTGGATTTTTATTGGTGTTGCCCTTCTTGGCTAAGGAATCTGGAACTTTGATTTGTGTTTTGGATGAAAGGAAGATTTTTGTTTATGCTCGGCAGGATGCCCCATTCTTTTTTTATGTATGCCCCTTGTATCTCTTGTTTCTTTTGGTTGATGTTGCTACTGCCACCCATCATGGCCTTTGGATCAATCTTTATTTGGACATGCTGCTGCCCATGTTCGAGGACTATTATCTTTTTTGCTGGTGTTAGGAATTGTTTGTGGGCTAATGAGTAGCTCTCGGTTAGCTTCATAGGGATTTCCAAAGAGAGACCAAATATTACTTAGTTTGGCCTCAGGACAATTGGCTGATTCTTTGGTTTGTGGTATGTAGTGACGTTGCTGCTAGTATATGGGTTTGGACCTTTTTGTGGATGTGGCTTTTAGAGAGAGACCTTCTGTTTGTGGCCATTATCTCCCCGATGACAGGTGTGCATGTTGTTGCTGATATGTGGACTGGTTACAAGGTTTGGGGCTACACTTTTTGATACAAGGCCTGCCTTTTTTTGTGTTACTGGTTTGCTGTTTTAGACCTCCTTCAGGTTAGATCACGGGTAGTCAGGATTGTAAATGATGTTGTTTCTTTTTTGCATATGTTGTACTTTTTGGTTCCCGGGAATATCCAGGACGCATAATCTTTTATAGAGACTCTCTTTGGGGTCTCATTCATTTTTTTTTTCTTAATACTATTTCCATTTACCCAAAAAAAAAATGTTCACTAAAATAATTTAGTGGGGATGGAAAATCACTTCCGTAAAACACTTTTGTAAAGAATTGTAACTAGAGTAGCATAGAAATACAATTATAAAGCACTTTATGACCTTCCAACGGCAATCTATATATTTATATAATGTTGAAGCAGACTGCTTCTTCTGACGCCACATAGGATTGATATCTGATCGCCATGTAGGATGTCATTAATTGGCCACGTGTTTGCTGTTTATTGGGCTTGTTATAATAGGGATTATTCACATGCATTCAATTAATGTATTCAATACAAATCTTTCACATTCCTCTTTTAATTTGATAAATTACTAATGATTCGCTTGTGTGTTATTGATTTCCATGAATATTAAGAGATTGCTATAATAGAAATTATTCACATGCATTCAATTAATGTATTCAATACAAATCTTTTACATTCCCCTTTTAATTTGATAAAGATACAATATATCTTTTCACATTCATGAAATTCAATAATACACTTTATTAATCCATTAATATTCAATGTTCATTCATGCATATTAATTATTATTATTAATTAATATTAATATTAATATTTTTGTACCCCTTCACATTCAATTAAACAAAAATATCAAACATAACAACGAAAAATGTTTTTTTATAAAATGTATTATCATTTAACATTTAATATAAATCTGAAAATTTTAAACTCATCCAATAACAATAAAACATTTAAATCAAAATAACCATAACTAATAACATGCAAACACTTACTAAAAAATGTCAAAAGTCATATTAATTAGCAATAATCCAATTACATTGAACATAACACGAACAGTTGTTGTCATATAATATTACTTAATGACATCTNGACAAGGCCTTGGTAAATATATCAGCAACTTGATCTTCGGTTCTACAGTAAGCTAAACATACTTCTCCTTCCTTTTGTATTTCCCTTAGGAAATATAATTTGATTTTAAAATGCTTTGTCCTGCCATGAAAGACAGGATTATTTGAAATGGAAATTACTGCCTTGTTGTCAACCAAAATCTTTGTGCCTTCGTTCTGCTCCATATGTAGATCAATTAGCACCTTCCTAAACCAAAGAGCTTGATTGACAGCTGCTGTAGTAGCCACAAACTCAGCTTCTGTAGTACTTTGAGCAACCAAATCTTGCTTCTTAGAGCACCATGAGAACACCCTTGAACCAAAACTAAAACAAAATCCAGTTGTGCTCCTCATATCATCAATTGAACCTGCCCAGTCACTATCTGAGAAGCCATGAAATTCAAGGACTGAACACTGTG